GGGTGTCGGTGCCGGGGCGGTACCTGCGGGGCCCGGTGCCCAGGCGGTACCCACGGCGCCGCGCTCACGCCTGTGCCCCCGCAGTTCTATGACCTGTGCGAGCTGTTCCGGACCGGCGGGCAGGTCCCCGACACCAACTACATCTTCATGGTACGTGCGGCGCGGCGCGCGGGGAGGGCTGTGGAGCTGAACGCCGGGCGCGCTGCGAGCGGGGGACGCAGGGACCGCTTCAGCATTACACTGAAACCCCAAACAACCACAGGTCGTGTCTTCCTACAGTACTGGTGGCAGGCTTCCTTTCAGCACTACATCTCTTTATTGCACTGAGAAATTGAGAGTGGATCTGTCGCTTTGCATTTTAACATGACTGTTTCTCCATTTATCAATTTTTTTGACTTGCAGGGTGACTTTGTAGATAGAGGCTATTATAGTCTCGAGACTTTCACTTACCTTCTTGCACTAAAAGCTAAGTGGCCCGATCGTATCACACTGTTGCGAGGCAATCATGAAAGCAGGCAGATAACACAAGTGTATGGATTTTATGGTAAGTCTTTATCCAAATGTTTTCTGAGTGATGGCTAATGTAATAAACAACTGCTTTGCCTTTCCGTTTGGACATCTGATTTGGAATGCAGCAGCACATGTGGCTCCAGGGAGCAAGTGTGGAATGGGCAGAGTAAAGTTAGCTTCAGCAGAACATGTTTAGTCCAGCAGTTCACAGCTGGACTTCTCGTGCCTCAAGTCAAACCCTAATCTGACAAAGTCTTAGCTCTTCTATTTTCTTCCAGCATTTGGTTTTTTATTTGTGTTTCAGTACCATATTTGATTTTAGAGACAGAGAAAGAAAAGACATTTGTACAGAACGAGCTTTGGTATCTCTTAGTGAAGGGTTCCAGAAGAAATCACAAATTTACTGTAATTCTCTTCAGTTTTCACTACAGCAAAATCTGCACAATCTTTGATTTTTAGCTGTGGGAGCTATGTATTGCCAATAGAAGGCACGTGGGAGACTGCTGCTTACAGGGAATTAGCAGGAAAGCAACTGTGCTAAAAACTGTCAAAATTAAATTGCTTGGAAACTTTGTATTGCATGAGACTAATGAAATCTCAGGAAACCCTGAGAAATACCTGCAACAGCTGCCACAGAGAATGTGCTCTTTGTAACATGCATTTTTGGAGGGCAGTGTGGCAACAAGAGCAAGTGTAAGTGTTGACAAATGGTTTTAGGCTCCAAAGAAATACTTTCCTGCCAAGGCTTATGGCCCGGGATTGATTACATCCACTTTATTGCCACATTTCTATAGTTTGAACTCACCTGTGTCTCCTTCCTTTCTTTTTATGCTTGCTTTCTGGTTTTACAAAGCTTAGAGATAATTGGGTCTTATTTTGCTTTCTAGTTAAACAAAACTACTGTAAATCTTATTTGTAGTTAGGAAAACTTGAAATAGTTTTGCTATTTCGGTCTTAAATCTTCAGTGTAAAGTTGTGTAGTACAAAGATGCTGCTGGTGGAGTCAGGGGTGGGTTCGCGCGCAGCAGGGAAGCGTTGCTAAGTCGTGCTGCCCGAGGTCCTGTTTTCTTTGCGTTGCTCAAGTGAAAACGTTACCCGTTTGCGTGTGCTCCCTACTGGTGCCCCTGGTAAGACACAGCTGCCCGCTGAGCACCTACTGGTGCTTCGGGGAGTGGTTTTTATCACACACTTGGCTTTTCAAGTTCTGCTATAAATATTTGCCTCAGTTCTTATTACCTGAATTTCTTACGATTCATTAAGAAGAAAAAAATTCTCTGTTTAACAGATGAGTGCCAAACCAAATATGGAAATGCTAATGCTTGGAGATACTGTACCAAAGTCTTTGACATGCTCACAATAGCAGCTGTAAGTGTGAACACTGCATTTAAAAAAATATAAGTAGATTGTCTAAACGTGACCTCTTGAATCGGTGGCCCATAATGGTCACACTGGTAGTGCCCTGAGTTGGATTACAGTGCTGTGAGTTTGACACCCGTCTCCTTGTCCTCCAGTTAATAGATGAGCAGATTCTGTGTGTGCACGGTGGCCTCTCTCCAGACATCAAGACACTCGACCAGATTCGAACCATTGAGCGTAATCAAGAAATCCCCCACAAAGGCGCCTTCTGTGACCTCGTCTGGTCCGACCCAGAGGACGTCGACACGTGGGCCATTAGTCCCCGCGGAGCAGGCTGGCTCTTCGGGGCCAAGGTGACGAATGAGGTAACGGTGCTGCTGCGAGCGGCTCTGCTTACGAGGGAGGTTAAGGTGCTCGGCTGCGAGTTGAGTGTTTGCCCGGGAGCAGAACGGAGGTGACTGAGCTGGTCACGCCGCTGAGCGTGCTTGTGAGGAAGGTGCTCGTGCTTTAGTGGTGCTAACAGGAACCAACTTGAAAAAGGAGCCATTGCAATGTTGAAAATACAAACAAAAAATCTGCCAGCTGAGCTGATACACTTTTAAAAAGCAACATCAGTAAGTACAACATGATCTTTAAAGGTCCCTTCTAACTTCAATCCTAAAATGAGACTAATTTTACTAGGTTTTGTGCAGACATACCTCCCTGCAGATTTAGGAGGAAAAAAAAAGTTTATTTTTCCTGGAAAAGCAGACCTCTCTAGCCTGGACCTTGTTGATCTCCTGAGGCTTTGAACTAGCTGCATTAGGAAAGCCATGGTGTGTTGCGCTCTTACGGCAGCGTATTCAGAAAATATTAGAGCACTGTGGGCACGGCGCAGACGTAGCCCCCTTGGAGTGACCGAAGGGCTGTGTTTTGAGAAGGCCGGTCCGTCCACGGCACTGCGAGCCCTGGGGACGCCGCTGCCTGGCTGTCCTGGGGCTTGGGAGCAAAGTGGCAGCCGGGGGAACGCGGGAGGGGAAGGGCTCCCGCGTGGGGATGTGCAGCTCTTCACAACCAGTATTCACATGCTTGTTTATTTTCTCCTTTAAATTACAGTTCGTTCATATCAACAACTTAAAACTCATCTGCAGAGCGCATCAGCTAGTGCATGAAGGCTACAAGTTTATGTTTGATGAGAAATTGGTGACGGTATGGTCTGCTCCAAATTACTGCTACCGCTGTGGAAATATTGCGTCGATCATGGTCTTTAAAGACGTAAATACAAGAGAACCAAAGCTATTCCGTGCAGTTCCAGACTCAGAACGCGTAATTCCGCCCAGGACAACTACACCGTACTTCCTCTGAGACCTTTCCTAGCCTGCTGTTGCCCCACTCCCTTGTACTATCCCCTTACAATATAGTTTTTACTGAGCACTTTGCTGCTGAAATGCTGCCTCTTGCCTTTTTTATGTTTAAATTATCTAAGTTTATTGTGTATTACGGTGTGTGTAGCGAGCTCCTTAGCTCCCCCGGCCCCGATTCGTGCTGGAGCGTTTGCGCTGGCTCTGCCGCGTTCCCGGGTTTAGAGGGAGCCCTTCCCGGGGCCGCCGTGCTGCTCCGCTCCGTGTTCCCGGCGCGCGGGGCCATTTCAGCAGCAAAGGGGCTGCCCGTTGCCGGGACTCCGCGGTTTGTACGCGC